AAAGAAAGAAAAAGAAAGAAAGAAAAAGAAAGAAAGAAAAAGAAAAGAAAAGAAAGAAAGAAAAAGAAAGAAAGAAAAAGAAAGAAAGAAAAAGAAAGAAAGAAAAGAAAGAAAAAGAAAGAAAAAGAAAGAAAAAGAAAGAAAAAGAAAGAAAGAAAAAGAAAGAAAGAAAAAGAAAGAAAGAAAAAGAAAGAAAGAAAAAGAAAGAAAAAGAAAGAAAAAGAAAGAAAAAGAAAGAAAAAGAAAGAAAGAAAAAGAAAAAGAAAGCAGCACTTTCATCATCACTCGCTCTATCAGTCTTGCCAGTAGTGTGCCAATACTACAGTTCGGATGCTCCTCTAAACCGCAAATATCTCCACTCCTTCACAGTGCAGGCACTGTACTTTCCACCTCCAGGACTCTAGTCTAAATTCCTTGAATCTCTTCACAAAATGTTACCCGTCTCATAATCCAATGGCTCATCAAGTCCCAAAAATCACTTGCCTCCACTCACTCCTAACATGCTCACACATGCCTGCTGGATAGATACATATAGATAATGGCACTCATTTTTGCACACTAGGAATTTTTTATTGCACTCTTTCCAAGCACATTAAGACAATAATTATGCTCTAACTGGCAGTCTACTGTACATACATTACTACAAAGAATAATTACTCAAATTTCCTACTACTCTAATTTATCATATAAAGGCATATCAGACATTAACACCTTACACATTAGTCTTTATAACTGATGATCACCATAAATAATTTTGTCATTTAAATTAAAAAATTCCTTTCTGGATTTTTCTTTTCACTTTTGTGTCTTAGACTCTGAATAAAAAAGTATACTGTATATGTAGATCAACATTGTTATTAACCAAACAATAATTATGGGACACTGTCTCAAGACATTGTTAAATTTTTCAGGCACCACTAAGGCACAGTTGATCATTCGAGAGGGACAGTATTAGCATGGACAGTCCTCAGCCAATAGTTTCACAAAAATTATGAAGACCATTCCAAAGAATAAGTCTCAGGAGGTAAAAAAGTTTGAATATACAAATACCATTAGGCACATTAATATACACTTAACACCCTACCCTGAAGTTTGTTACATGAAGAAAGCTTCACAGGCATCATTAGTTAGCTATATACAGTACATAAGATATGTGGGAAATTCTTGTGATTATATCCAAGGTCAATGCATGCAGTTCTCTTTTGTTTTTCTTTTTGTCATTACAGGAAATTCTCATTTGTCCAGGTTACACTTATGCAGATACAAATACCATACTATACATTAATTAATTCCTTCTTTTTATTAAAGTGTAACTTTCCCTGTAATTGAAACGCTAAAATTAGACTAGAAACAATGTGAAGAAATAGCCTAGTAACTTTGAATCAACTGTGAAATGAGTAAGGAATTTGTTTTTGTTTTTGTCAAAATGATTTCTTAAAATCCTTCTTAAAAATGCAAATCATTTTCAAATGTTGCTAACAAGAATTATTCATCACTAAAGCAAGCTCTATAGCAATTTTAGCAAGGCATGTTTCTTCTGCAAAAGAAAAATCAATTAGATTACATAAAATAGTAAACCAACTAGCTTTTAAAATACATACAAGAATTCTTAGCTCAACCCCTGTAGAAACCTTACACATATAAAAAAAAAAAAAAAAAATTTAGCATGGAGTTTAAAAAAAGTATTTTATTAACCCACCCTAAAGCAAATACAGGAACACAATGTATATCAGAAGGTACGGTATATGGTATTGTAACCACGAACAAGTGGTATTTAAAAATTACAACACTGTGACTAGCCGGGGGATTGAAAACTTGTTGTTTTAGCCAACCTCATGGAGAGCGAAAATTCATGAAGCTCTAATCCACTGGACCAAAAAATCCTACAAGAACCACGCACCCAGTAGAGCTAGGTGTTGTACCATGATCCAAGGACATACAATGATGTGGGTGCCTCAGCTAATTTCATTCTTCTACTCCCTGTTTGGTGTACAAGCTTCCACAAGCAGTAACAAGGAATAGAATGAAACTAGCTCTGAAGCACCCACACCATTTTATGTCCTCGGATCACAGTACAACACCTAGCATTGCTGGGTGCGTGATTCTTGTAGGATTGTATGGTCCAGTGGGTTACAGCATCGTGAATTTTCGCTCACCACGAGGCGAGCTAAAACAACACGGGTTCAATCCCCAGCTATTCACAGTGTTCTTACTGATCAGAAGGCATACTGATATAATCCTGGAGAAGTGCTAAACTCACAAGGGTCATACAGCACCAGGAGATATGATTAAAGCTGCAGTTAAAATTAATAATGTTATGTTCTCTTGCTGGAATATGTTTGCAAGAGATGAAACAATATATTTGTTGAGCATTCATGTTCGTATGCACGTGTGTGTCAATTTAAAACAAAATAAACATTACAAACTAGTTTGTAGAAAACTACTTTTAGTAAGCTAGATAGCCTTTCTTCAAATGCAGATTAAACTATAGGATTAATTCACTAGTTGTTGGTGAAATACACAAATTTAATGACTGAAAAAAAGCTACTCAGTATACAGTTTATAAACTGAGTAAAGCTAGTGGAAGATATTCAGTGTCAAGGCAGTGATAGTTTGATATTTTTTATAAAAGAAATCAAGGGTCACAACTGTGCCACTCAAGGGTTGCAGGTGGTTGAAGGCCACACATTGTGCATCCCTGCACTCCAGAGTGACTGTACACAAATACCTTTCTCACTACCCAAGGAATATTTTGCACATGAACTATGCAATACAAGATCTTATTAAAACTGTTTAATAAAAACTTCATGCCATACATGTTCATATTAAAATTGGTTAATAAATATAAGCATTCAAGATTATGCATCAATGATGATTTTTAGTCTAGACAAAGATTAAAAGCTATATTACAGAATTACAGACTTTAGTTTTGAAGGTGAGGTGTACAGTGATTGTGCTCTAAAAGGTAAGTGATGATGCTGCAGTTCAGAGTCATCTGAATTCTGATGTTCATGCACTTCTGGCTAGACAGTTATTAAATGAATGATGGTAACACATTTCCTACCTATGTCACTCTACCTTCTCGGGAAATGCACTCGAGTGCATTCTGATCCTAGTGTCACCAAGAGAACTAGCTGTCAGTCTAGCACATGAAGCAGATTCTTAGTAAATGTGTAGAAAATACAATTTGTATATACACTATCCTTCTACTTTCTGTTGCCAATGTATCCAGCCTAGTTTTTCAAAGTGGATACAACAAGCATCACCTCAAGATAAAAAAAAACTAACATGAAATGCACAACTGGTATGATTCTATATGGCACATAATATTTATGCATGTGTGTCATGATTTCTAAGCCAATAATATGACAAACAAGAAAACCATAAATTAATTCTGGTGCAAAGTAACTTACATAAATAAATGTAACAATTTTTTTTTTAAAGCAGCTTGTCTTATATGACTGACATGAGAGAGACAGAGACAGACAGACAAAGAGAGAGAGACACACACAGACAGACAGACAGACACAGACACACACAGACACACACAGACACAGACACAGACACACACACACACACACATACACACACATACACACACACACACACACAACACACACACACACACACACCACACAACACACACACACACAGACACACACAACACAGACAGACACACACACAACCAGACACACACACACCCAGCACACACACAACACCAACACACCCAGACACACACACAGACACACCCAATCACAGACACACACACACACACACACACACAATAATGCATATCTATCTCCATTGCTCTGCTTTTAGCATTTACAGCAGACATCTCTCTTCAGAATACTGTCTGGACACTTCAAACATTCAAATACAGTATTGTACTCAGTTACATATCCATTATTTACACTGCCTTGATACATGCTCCTTTACAACAACTTCATATACTGTAATTAAATATATAGTGGCAAAGCAGTAATGATAAGTTATTAATGATAAATTTTCAGTTTTAACTTTGAAAACAATATACAGGAGCAAAAGATGAATACATAGTAATGAAAGAAATTATTTTGTAAGATCTTTTGCCTTGGGGTTTTTTCCTGGATAGAAAATAAAAATGTAATACAGTACGTATAGATACAAAAGTTATAAGGAAATTTGTTCACCAGAACAATGCCCTCCACCCCATAATCTAGATAAATGAGACTTTACAGCACACTGAAAACATTCATAAAATAATGTTTTAACATGATAGTTTTAAAAAGTTTAAAACAATTTTAAGAAATTAAAGAAAATAAAAATAAAAATTATGGAGTTTCCACAGAGAAGAGGGCTAAACTTAGAAAATAAACAAGTCACAAGGTGACAAAAGAGATGGTATGTTGACCTTGAAATACCTGCTAATGTACCCTTGAGCAATTACTGAACACTGTAGTAATTACACTGCACACAATGATGGAATGACCTGCACATTCAATAAATGCTAGTTACAGAATAAAAACAAAATTAAAAGTTTACAAGTAATATGTACAAAAACAAAAAAAAAGAAAAATGAATGGCAAGATCCATTTTGTCACTTTAAATAAAATGAAATTTTTTTATCACAAGATATATACAAGATCATGTGGTAACCTCAAAGTTATATAAAATCTACACAATACAGTAGAACCATTTCTAAATTCTGAAAATTAATTTTTTTTTTTTTTTACAAAAGATTCGTTATTGTATTCATATTTTGCTGTCTACTAACATGTTGATAAATTAGACAACTGTGCAACTCTTGGGTATCTTTATTGAGGAAACGTTTCGCCACACAGTGGCTTCATCAGTCCATACAAAGGAGAATCTTGAAGAACAGGAGGAGAATAAGGTAATCAGTCCCTCAACCTTGAGTCGATGTGGTCAGTCCATCTATCTTGAATAGATTCGATTGAATAGATTCAAGATTGATGGACTGACCACATCGACTCAAGGTTGAGGGACTGATTACCTCATTCTCCTCCTGTTCTTCAAGATTCTCCTTTGTATGGACTGATGAAGCCACTGTGTGGCGAAACGTTTCCTCAATAAAGATACCCAAGAGTTGCACAGTTGTCTAATTTATCAACATGTCGGTTCTCTGAACCTTTCATCTACATGTCTACTAACATGCAAAACAATGACATTTTTTTCCTTTTTTTAAAAATTATTTGAAATTGTTCAACTCTGCCAAACACTTTCAATGCTGCTTAAAAAATAACTTAAAATAGAGCACAATTATATTTAAACCAAGAAATAAACACAAAATAAAGCCTCTTTGGTGATATAATAGTCACAATATGTATATTTATATATTTATATATATATAATATGTATATGTATATTTATAGAAAAGACACAAATACACTTCAATTACTAACCCCTTAGGAACACAGATGGGGTTCAGCAGCAAGATTTTCCCAGACACGTATTCATCTATCTCACAAGCTGCCACTTCTCACTTTTGTAAATTCGTAGCTATACAAGAATTAGCTGCCAATACTGAACAGAACTTACACTGAAACAAGACAAAAATAATCATCTATGTATATACACACAATATGTCCGAATTCATGACGACACTACTACTACAAATGTTTGTGAAATCTGAGTATTATTCTTGCTCTTAACTTCAGTGTCGAATCAAATGTATTCCTTGGAATGTTGAAACAGTAGTTCTGCATAAAAATACTGCTCTCTTATTACATATGATACACATGCATCAGCTGCCAAAGTGGACCAGAAACTGTTCACACCAAAGCTTACTCATCTAATGAACTTACTCAAGCTCACCTGCCAAATACACAGTAAGCTTAGGCTTGCCCAATTCTCACTTCACAAAGTGAGCTTGTCATAAGCTGCTCACATTAAATTATTTCTTACATACAGGCACATGATAACCCTTCATGTTTAGACAAAAGGCACTTACAAAGCAACGTATATTACAATAATTAAAAAGCAAGAATGTAGCACATAGCTAACAGGGAGAGTGTCTGAAAGATCTCATCAATGGCACCAAAAGTGATGGCGGCCCAGCCTGTCGTAGAAAAGGATGTTGAAGGAGCTCAAATGCAGTTGCTCGTTGACCTGGATCTCTGACCAGCATCTTTTCTAGAAAACCTTGTAGGCGTGGTGATATCTGCAAAATATGGCAAAGGAAATTATTTATATTGCTGTTAAATAATACAGAGTGAAGATACTCTTCTGAATTATTACCTTATTTCATTTGCTTCATTCAAGGGCTGTATGTACTGTGCATCAAACACTATCAGTCCAAGATTTATTTCCACACAATACAATGTTTGTACAAAGATGGGTGACATTTCGTTGTGAATGCAGAAAGCCCATGATTATGCAGAGAATTTTAGGCAAGTTTAAGTCTAACATAAGACTACAGTGGCAATAATTATTATTTGCTTTTATATAAGGACATTAAACATATACAAACAACAAATTATGGTTAAATTAAGAAGCATTTTTACTGTAATACACGCAACTGAGGTGTCTCATCTTAATTTTATCTCTAAAAATATCGAGTCTCATTAGATCATGACATAAAGACAAATGCATCATGCAATACAGAAGAACCCCCTGTATCCACAAATTCAGTTTCTACAGTTTTAGTTATCCACAGCTTACCGTGACCCAAAAATAACCCTTAATTTTGCTTAACAATGGAACCAAGGCACAAAAGTAGTGATGGTTACAGTTCTTCAAAGCCTAAGAGAAGTGAAAAAGTGTAAATTATCTACTCACTGTGCATAATTTATCAATTAAACTTTATCATAGGTATGTATGTAAACAAAAAATGACATATATAGGATTCACTACTATCTGTGGTTTTGGGTATCCATGGTAAATCTTGGAACAAATACCCCACGGATACTGGGGGGACTACTGTATTGTGAAAGATAGAGTACATCTGTTAATGGTTTTTCAGAACTTACTGCCCCTATAGCCCACATGCCAAAGGTCTTCCATTGCTGAAAACTTTTAACTTGAGGAGAATCTGCAAAATTGCTAGTGATTACAAGATATGCACTACAAAATTACGGATCTTGCTTTACTGGCTGCCAATCACCTCTCACTTAAGTTTTTAAATTTCTGACTTGATGATATAACTATCTCTAAATACAAAAAGTGCTACCTTTCCTTTGATTGGTACTCATGTGAATGAAATCATATAAAAACAGTAATAGTAAGAGAAAGATTAATTCTCCTGGGATATAATTTTTACATGTTAGGATAAATTAACACCTATAGAAGATCACAAAAATTAAACCACACTTTTTTTTTTTTTTTTAGTTATGATTAAACTTGCAAGTAATGTTGCTAAACTCTTCAGTCTTCAGTCGTTTTCCATCAAGACAATGTGTTCTCAAGAAGGAAACACACAAGGTGATTACAGAAGAGCACAGACATGTTCCAACACTAACCCACTGATTTACAATGCAATGTATTTCCCAACCTCCAAAACTAAAGTCTGATTAGCCAGTTTCCCCAAAGTCCCTTCATAGGCAAAGAAATATCCTGTTCATACCAAGAGGATGTCAAACCTCATAGATCATTCATCCTTGCACTCCTATCTTCTCCACGTCTACTGGATGCTAAAGCACTTACATCTCTGCCTCTTTCACATCTTTCATGAAGGTCCCTACCTGCTTTTCATGCACCCACAATTTATCACCATACCATGCTCTTTTCTTTTTCTGTGATTAACAATCTCAACAATCACAATCCCCTCTATGAATTATACCTTGTGCTCTACTATATGATCTATTTTCTGTATTCAGATATTCTACATGACATTCACACCATGCATTTGACTTAGACAAAACATTTCCATTGCCTCTAACATGTTCACTGCAATAATTTGAAGACCATACTTCACACACACTTGAAGGTGTCCGTGCTATTATACTCAGATACTTCCTAATGAACTATTATCCTCATGTCTTAACACCTCTTGAACTTTCTTTTCATCATTTATTCTATTTACCTCTTCCTTCAAAGATGCATCTGCTGATACACCAGCTTCAAAGCATCTAACACACACTTCCTCTAAACTCTTCATTTAATTCTAATCTTTCATCCCCTATACTTCAACTTTATAATGATCTTGCATTTTACTGCAATTGCTTTAAACTACATACCTTCTTTTACACACCCTTCCCAAAATCTACATCAACTTCTCTTCATATGTCACAACAACAGTCAGCTGCAAACAGAAATTTTAAATGCTTTCACTTTCACTCAGACTTGATTATATTTATGACCACACCTCTCCAAGAACTCTTGCCTTCACATATTAATAAAACTAGGGCTATATCACTCTTTTTTTTTTTTTTTTTTTTCAACAAGTCGGCCGTCTCCCACCGAGGCAGGGTGACCCAAAAAAAGAAAGAAAATCCCCAAAAAGAAAATACTTTCATCATCATTCAACACTTTCACCACACTCACACATTATCACTGTTTTTGCAGAGGTGCTCGGAATACAACAGTCTAGAAGCATACACACATAAAGATACACAACATATCCCTCCAAACTGCCAATATCCCAAACCCCTCCTTTAAAGTGCAGGCATTGTACTTCCCATCCTCATCAAAGTCCCAGTCTGTCTTACTACCTTTCTACAACTTTTTACTTGTCCCATACAATTGCAACACATCACATCACTCCACAAGTTACTCTAAAACCTGACACATCAAGGTGGCTTGTATCAGTGGTAGAACCTTCGGCTCACAACGTAAGGCTCTGGATTCAATTATAGGTAAATGAGAATATTTCCTTATATTAGCTGCCCCCATTCACCCAAGCTACTGGTGTGGGTGGCATCCTGGAAAGAGGAAGTATACCTTGGATAGGGTTCAGTTTCAAAATAAGCTGAGGTATGATAAAAGCTCTTAGTCTGTAGATTGACAAGTATAAAACAAAAAAATACTTAAGCCAACATTAGTTACCTTATGAGAATTCTTCAGTTTGGGTGGCGGCATGTCTCTTATTCGCCTCATGGCCTGCAGTGGGGGCTCGTTGAAGAATGGAGGTTCACCATCTACCATCTCAATCACCATGATGCCCAGTGACCAAATATCTACCTCAGGCCCATATGGAAGTCTGGATATAACTTCAGGCGCCATCCAGTATGGAGTGCCCACTAAAGATTTGCGCTTTGGCAACTCTTGAGAAACTTGGGCACAAAACCCAAAATCAGATAGTTTGACCTAATAAAGAGAAAACATGCTTTAATACAATACTTATGTTTATAGCATTCTATACATTTGCAACATCTGTTACACTGTTCCCCTATTCACCCTATCAAGTCTTTTCTAAATCCATAAATGCAACTAAAAGTTCCTTACCAATATCTAAGTATTTTTAAGCTATATGCTTCAATGTAAACTACTTGGTCTACACATCCCTATCCTTTCTAGAACTTCCTTATTCCTCTGAAATCCTACTTTCCATCTTATCCTGAATTCTCTCAATAACAACCCTAGTTTACCATACGCCTGACCCAGCATACTCAACAAGCTAATTTCCTCCTTTTATTATGGTTTCCTTATACAAAGGAGAGATGTCATGTCTGCTGAAAGCAGGCACAGTTCCTAAAAGTACCCAACCAGGCATGGTACTCTTAGGCACTCTTACCCCTTTCATGCACTTATTGATCAAACACACCAACCACTTACCTCTAATTTTCATCTTCATCCCATCTAGCCCAGCTTTCATTCTACCCAATGCCTCTTGCACTTTCCCCATATTTACATCTGGCTCCTCCTCACTTCTACAAGATGATATACCTCTCTGCCCAAAGCATGAAATCACTGCCTCCCTTTCTTCTTCTTTCAACAAACTGGCTGTATCCCAGAGACAGGGTGGCTCAAAAAGAAAAACGAAAGTTTCTCTTTTTAAATTTAGTAATATATACAGGAGAAGGGGTTACTAGCCCCTTGCTCCCCTCCCTTTCTTCATCAACATTTAATAACTCCTCATAATATTCCTTCCATCTTCCCAGTACTTACAGCTCCTCATCTAATGACCTTTGTTTTTCAAAGCTAAATGCTTTTGTTCCTCAAGCTTCTAGATTCATTAATCTCACTCCAAAACTTATTTTCTTTTCTCAACAAAATTTGTTGATGAAACCTCACCCACTCTTTCATTAGCTCTCCTCCTGCACTTCCTCACTACTCTTTTAACCTATCTTTTACTTTCCACATACTCTACACTCTGTACATTCTCCTTGTACTCCAGTTACCTCTTACCTTCACTATAACTACCAATAAATAATGATCTGATATATGTTACCCTCTCTAATAACCATGCACATTTGAAAATATACCCATTAACCTTTTATTTACCAATACATATTTTATCATATTTCATGTAGAGTGGGGCCCCATTTACACAGCAGGTTTGGTTCCAGGCTACTGATGGAAAGCGGAATTTGCCGGAAAGCAGAACGCCATTTTTTTTTTACTTATGCCAGATAAGTTTACACTAACATATACTCAGTTAGCAATTAAATGGGATTAAAAACAATAAAAATTTAAATCACAATGTCACTTTTACTACCCTCAAAATTTTGCAGCTTAATAAAAAGGGTGAGTAATATTTTTGAAAGAAAATAGGTGTGGTGGTATAGTACCCCCTCCTGGCCCCCCTCCCCCACATGTTTTTATATAGACACTTAAAGGCCCTTAGAGCGAAAAAATGCTATAAGTGGAACGTGGTTACAAATTTTAAATCCTTCCAGGGGACTTGTTGTGGACCCACGGTTAAAGGGAGAGAAATTGACGAAAAAAACTGCACGAAACAAAGGGGGAATAACGGAATTCCCTTTTCCCCGTGGGGGACCTCCGTAAGCACATATGCCTGGTGAGAATTTTTTGTTTGACATGCTTTGGGGGGGTGTTGTCAAACAAAAATTTACGCGTAAACTAGTACGTTTATTTTTAAATTTTTATTGTTTTATTTACTATAAAAATTATGTATTAGGTTTTTTCCTTTTTCTAAATGTCTTTTTTTTTTTTATTTCTTTATTTTTCCGGGGGGAAGGGGAAAAGAATTTTCCTCCGAAAGCCATGCGTGTCGTATGAGGGACTAAAATGCCGGGACCCAAGGGGCTAGAAACCCCCTTCCCCTGATACAATTACAAAAAAAGGAAAAAGAAAACTTTATAAAAATGGGGTTTAAAATGTGCGTGGTGTAGTGCGGTGAAAAAAACAGTGATTGGAGTTATGAAATGAAAGAGTTGGATGTCCTGGCCCAAGCGAAACAAAGTGAAGGGGGTAGGAGAGTTTCAGTGGGGGGAAAAAAATGGGATTAATCTGGGATTTAGGGAGGTTAGAAAAAAGGAGGGGTAGCGTAATTTTAAATGATCAGTTAGGAAGGAGAAAAGGAATTATGAATGTAAAAATTAAAGAATTATGTGGATTAAGAAAAGGGTTGGATGCGAGAAGTGGGTCAAAATAAGGTGTATGCCCTGGAAAAGAGGGGAAAGCGGGAGAGGAGAGTTTTTGGGAGTGTTAAGTGAATGTTAGGACCCTTTAAACCCAATGAGAGAGTAATTGTGGTAGGGGCTTGAATGCAAAAGTGGAAAAACTTTTAGAGAGGGTGTGGTGGTAAGTTTGGGGTCCCCAGGTGTAAATGATAAGGGGCCCTTTGTTGAACTTTGTATAGAAAGGGGTTTAGTTTAGGTAAAACAATTTAAGAAAAAGGGATAAAAAAAATATACCGATATGATGTAGGGCGAAATGACAGTAGTTTGTTGGTTATGTTTTGGTGATAAAAAAATGTTGGTAGACTTAGGTTTTATTGTTATAGAGGGGGGCCCCAGATATATCGATCATTTCTGGGGTAGTCACTGGAGTAAAAAAGGGAGTGGGTACGGGGAATGAAGCATCAGGGAAGGAGATTTTAAGGTTTATAAAATAAAAAAAGGAGGCGTTAGGGTAGATTAAAAAGCTATTGGAGGTAGTGGGCAAAAAAGGCATAGGGAAGGGTCGAAGAGGGATGGGGTAGGGTTTTAAAAAAGTATGTTGAGTTTCGCGAGTTTGTGGTTAAGGGGAAAATGGGTGCAGGAGGGAAGAGGAGCGATTGGTGGAAAGATGATTAAAGAGAGAGTAAGGGGGAAAAATTTTGCATATGAGAAGTTTTTACAAAGTAGAAGTGTGCAAGGAGGGAAAAGGGATATGGAGAAAAAAAGAGAGGTTAAAAGGGGTGGTGAAGCAAATTTAAAAAGGAGAAAAATGAGAGAGTGGGTGAGATGTTATCAACAAATTTTGTTGAAAATAAAAAAAAAGTTTTGGAGTGGTTAACAAGTTAAGAAAGCCTAGAGAAAAAATGGATTTGTCAGTTAAAATAGGAGGGGAGAGTTATTAAATGGAGAGTTAGAGGTATTGGGAAGATGGAAGGAATTTTTTTGAGGAATTGTTAAATGTTGATGAAGATAGGGAAGCTGTGATTCGTGTATAGGGCAAGGAGGAATAACATCTTGTAGGAGTGAGGAAGAGCCAGTTGTGAGTGTGGGGGAGTTCGTGAGGCAGTAGGTAAAATTAAAAGGGGGGGTTAAGGCAGCCGGGATTGATGGGATAAAGATGGGAAATGTTAAAAGCAGGTGGGGATATATTTTTGGAGTGGTTGGTGCAATTGTTTAATAAATGTATGGGAAGAGGGTAAGGTACCTAGGGATTGGAGGAGAGCATGCATAGTTCCTTTGTATAAAGGCAAAGGGGATAAAAGAGATTTGCAAAAATTTAGGGGGTAAGTCTGTTGAGTGTACCTGGTAAAGTGTATGGGTAGAGTTATAATTGAAAGAATTAAGAGTAAGACGGAGAATAGGATAGCAGATGAACAAGGAGGCTTTAGGAAGGTAGGGGGTGGTGTGGACCAGGTTTTTTACAGTGAACATATAAGTGAACCAGTATTTAGATAAGGTAAAGAGGTCTTTGTGGCATTTATGGATTTGAAACGGCGTTGACAGGGTGGATAGGGGGGCAATGTGGCAGATTTTTGCAAGTGTATGGTGTAGGAGGTAGGTTACTGAAAGCAGTGAAGAGTTTTTACGAGGTTTGTGAGGCTCAAGTTAGAGTATGTAGGAAAGAGGGAATTTTTCCCAGTAAAGTAGGCCTTAGACAAGGATGTGTGATGTCACCGTGGTTGTTTAATATATTTATAGATGGGGTTGTAAGGAAGTAAATGCGAGGGTCTTGGCAAGAGGCGTGGAGTTAAAAAAATAAAGAATCACACACAAAGTGGGAGTTGTCACAGCTGCTCTTTGCTGATGACATTTGTGCTCTTGGGAGATTCTGAAGGGGAAGTTGCAGAGATTGGTGGATGAATTTGGTTGGGGGTTGTGAAAAAGAAGAAAATTAAAGGTGAATACAGGAAAGAGTAAGGTTATGAGGATAACAAAAAGATTAGGTGATAAAAGGGATTGAATATCAGATTGGAGGGAGAGAGTATGGGGGGAGGTGAACGTATTCAGATATTTGGGAGTGGACGTGTCAGCGGATGGGTCTATGAAAGATGAGGTGAATCATAGAATTGATGAGGGAAAAGAGTGAGTGGTGCACTTAGGAGTCTGTGGAGACAAAGAACTTTGTCCTTGGAGGCAAAGAGGGGAATGTATGAGAGTATAGTTTTACCAACGCTCTTATATGGGTGTGAAGGTGGGTGTGATGTTTTTGCAGCGAGGAGAAGGCTGGAGGCAGTGGAGATGTCATGTCTGAGGGCAATTTTTGTGGTGTGAATATAATGCAGAGAATTCGTAGTTTGGAAGTTAGGAGGAGGTGCGGGATTACCAAAACTGTTGTCCAGAGGGCTGAGGAAAGGGGTTTTTGAGGTGGTTCGGGGCATGTAGAGAGAATGGAGCGAAACAGAATGACTTCAAGAGTGTATCAGTCTGTAGTGGAAGGAAGGCGGGGTAGGGGTCGGCCTGGAAGGGTTGGAGGGAGGGGGTAAAGGAGGTTTTGTGTGCGAGGGGCTTGGACTTCCAGCAGGCATGCTTGAGCGTGTTTGATAGGAGTGAATGGAGACAAATGGTTTTTTAATACTTGACGTTTCTGTTTGGGGTGTGAGCAAAGTAACATTTATGAAGGGATTCAGGGAAACGGCAGGCCGGAATTGAGTCCTGGAGATGGGAAGTACAGTGCCTGCACTCTGAAGGAGGGGTGTTAATGTTGCAGTTTAAAAACTGTAGTGTAAAGCACCCTTCTGGCAA